CTCGTTCCCCCTGTGCCTCCGGGCCCGCTTTGCCCTTGCGCACCCCGGCTCTGCTTTCCTCTTGGCCGCCCCCCCCCACCCCCGGGGTTCTCGGCTTGGCCTGCGGCCTCCAGGAACTCCTTTCCAGAATGGGCAAAGATCCGGGAGTGATGGGAGTTGTAGTCCGGTGCAGCTGGAGAGCGCCAGGTTGGAGAAGGCGTGGCCACGGTGCCGCTTCCTTCGGAAGCATGTTTACTCCGCACTCTAGGTCCCTCGCCTCTGTGTTGTTTGCAAACGTGCCGTGTATTACACACACACACACGCACCGTGTTGAGCGGGAGGGCGACCCCGATGACCAGGGGTCTGGAGCAGCTCCCGTAGGAGGGCAGGAGGCGACAGTTGAGGCTTGGCCTGTTGAGCTTAGAGAAGGGGCTGAGGAGAGGGGCTCCCGATGGAGGTGTGCAAGATACTCAAGGTTCTCTCCGTCTCTCAGCATCCTGGAACCCAAAAGGATGCAACATGGCTCTCCTTGTGCTTTTCTTTCGGTAAAAGAGTTGAAAAATACCCCTGGGGCAAGGAGGAGTCGATGACAAAAGATCCCTTCTTGCCACCTATCACGGGGTTCTGGGGAGAGGAGCAGGTGAGAGAGGGGAAGAATGAAGAGGTTCACAGCCTGAAATCCTGGGTACCTGTTTGCTGGAAGTAACTCTCATGCAGTTCATGTGGCTTTTCTCCCATGTAAGTGCAAATACGAAGGAAATGAAAAGAAGCACAACCCCATGCATTCCCCCCACCCCATGGGGCTGTACTGCCAGACAGAAGTGTGTATTTAGAATTCATGTTTGTTGAGAAGAGGAAAGATTAGGCTATTTCTTAGTATTGGTCTAAATGGCTTCCAGCATTCCCCAGCCAGCCCTGCTGTTCTCAGAGGGGCCTGCTGTATGAGTAGCCTCCCCAGCTGCTTTGGACTTCTGCTCCCATTGTCCACCAGCTCCTAGCCATGCTGGTTGGGGCGGATGGGAGCTTGAGTGCACAACTCCTGGAGGTGCTAGGTTGGTCTGGGGGTAAGCATTTGTGAAGTGGGGGTGCAGGAGTAGGAAGTGTAAACAGACCACCCTCCTCTCTCTTGGCAGCACTTGCAGACCGCTTCGCGTACAGCTTCAATCACCCCCAGCCAGCTTAGGGCGAGAGGTGTTGTAGTACAACATATCTGGGGGGCTGGGGAAGATGTGGGGAGGTGAGTGATCTGACAGGCAATGAAGAGGAAGTCCTCGCCAGGGTGGTGAGGAATTGAAGTTAGCAGCCTGAATCCTCAGTGTGTTTAGCCCTGTTGTGACTCTGGGGCTTATTCCTTACTGTGGGTTTGGGATTTCTGCCTACAGGGCGGCCTTTCCTCAGAAGGCATCCTTGCAGTGCTTGCTGGGGTCTGGCTTGTGTGGGACTGAACACTGGGGCGGCCACCTCAGCGCACGCTCGCCAGCAGTCCTCATGGAGGGTGACGGGGTATGTGCGGAGGAGGTTGTGTCCGCCGAAATAGGTGTGGGGACCCGGTCTCGTCCTCTTCATTGCACTGCAGCTCTGTGCGTTTTGCAAGACGGGTGCCGCCTTGCTCTGTGTAGGCTTACTCTTGGGTCGGTGTCTGTTGGGGCGCAACCTGTTGCTGGAGAGAGGTGAGTGAATAGAGGGGGTAAAATTGGGTAGGATTGGCAGCGAAGAACAGAGGGGCGGGTGTACAGAGGCAGAGCTGATGTGGCCCTGAGGAGGAGAGGGGAGATGCTGGCTGGGGCGAGAGGATTTGGGGTCTGCCAGAGGCCCTCGGCCTCACCTGCCACGCAGGTTTGTTGTGAGGATCAAATGGAGACGATCAGGCCCATGCAAGCCGTTTTGGGTTTCATGCAAGAGGAGAAAGGTGGGGTTTAAATGCAAAAATCCCCCTCCTTCCTCCACAGAGTTCAGGGGAAAATCACATATCCCCCCCCCGAACAGGTGTTCCCTCTCCACAACCTCATGAGGTAGGGTGCCAGGATCAAGCAGCAGTCTTTTATCTGGGTCCGAGACCCACACACCTGAGCGAAAGGGTACGGCAAATCCATTTGCATCAGCTGTGCCTCGACTTCCAGCGAACAAGCCGTTCACGTCAAAGCACATGTGCATCAGAACGTTTACTGTAATGGTGGAAAAGAAGCATTAGTGGCATTCTCCTTCCAGCGGTTCATCATGTTCGACTTCTCCAAAGGCTTCATCCCTGCTTTGAGGGCCATGAGGTGGCAAGCCCTGCGAGGCGATGGCCCCGGTGAGGAGTTGCCACAGGTGGGAGCTGGGGATGGAAGTTGGAAGGTTAGAAATGGGGTGGAAGGGACAAGTGCCAAGCCTGGGGGGGGGGGGTGCTGGGGGCAGCGTTCTGGTCGGAGTGTATGTAACACGCAGCATTCCAGACCCAAGGGGCTTATGGGAGTTTTAGTCCAGTAGCATCTGTGGTGCACCAGTTGGGGAAAGTCCTGTGTCAGCAGAGCCGGTGTTTGTGCGGGTGCTGCTGTACCGTCCTGGGGAAAACTCTGCCATGGGGTGGCAGAGGTTGACGCAGGCCTGGGGTTAGTGCCATGACAAGGGGCTCAGCAAAGGGGGTGATCCTGTGCCTGCCTCCCTGGTTGTAAGCCTTATTACTGAGAAGAAGTGCACGGGATTACACGAAGGAGTGACCAGCACACTGAGACCTTGTCGAGATTAGTGGGGAGGGGTGGGACAGGGCCACCTCTTTCTCTGCCTGTACCCCCCAGGCGTCATGCTGGCGGATGCCCTGGGCCAGGAGTGCCGCATCTCCCACTCGGTTGAGTCTGGTGTGGGGACCTGCTGGCAAACGATGACGCAGAGGAGTGTCCAGGCTTCTTGTCTCAGGGAAGCGTAATCCCATATGTCTGTGTATAAAAACGGATAGACTAAGATAAAGTGATTTAAAATACATTCCAATCATTCTGTTACTCTATCCATTTTTCTTTATCTTAATGGGAGCTGATCGCACCCAGAGGCTTTCCAGGTTTGTTTTGCTGTTGTGCCACCTTGCATCTCTCTCTCGGTCTTCTACAACTTGTTGGGCTCCTGGGTGTGGGATGCTGGTTGGGGAGGGCTGAAATTGTACACATACATGTTCAGGAAACGTGATAGCCCGTTCTCAGGGTTGCATGTGGATTGGGGTTGTGGAAACATGTCTTGCTATGTTGTCTGAACCCAGTTGCACTAATAACCTATGGTTTGTTAAAGATGAACAACCCAAAATTAACGGCCCAACAGCAAGCCACAGGTTCTCTTGATGAATTGTTCATGCTTAACAAATTTGTTAATGAGGCTGGGTTCAGACACCGCAGCAACCCACATTCAGACTACTCAGCCCTTGAATGTGGGTTGTTAGGTTATCTGTACTTCTGCTATACCAGATGTGGGCCATGCGCAACTCCTCAAGAATGTTGGCCTCCAGCTCCTGTCAACCCCAGCCAAGGCAACCCATGGTGAAGGAAGGATAATGGAAGTTTTAGGCTAAAAAATCTGG